TCAAAAAGTACCCGACTACATCACTACAAGAGACCTAGTCATTGCCCGGGAAGCCAATTTTTTACACGACCTAAGTCATTGGTCATTGGAACAAAGGAACTACAAAGATACAATTGTACGTGTATGTGGGGCTGACCCAAGGCATGATGGCACTTAATGCATTCTGATCATTATGCCCTGCACAAGAAAAGAGTTGACTCTTTCATTCCATTGGTCTGCAAACATTAAGGCAAAACCCTGGGTGGCATCAGGCATATCAGTGCCCCATGGTCTGATTATACCAATCACGTCAGCATTGATTTTCCTCTGATTTTGGAGATATGAGGCAATAGATACTGGTGCCTTGATTCCTATACCAGTAGCGATATCATCTACAAAAGTTTAGGTATCAGATTTACTTGATGTTAGCCACTAGTCTGCATACAGTCGCTTTTTTGTCCTTTTTTTTCAACGAGGTTTCTGGGGTTTTTTTGTCTGTGTGTAGATTCGGTGAGAGGTTCATCAGCACTTCGCATTTGTATGACGCCGGACTGCGGAAACTGGCTCGAGATATTGGCAAGGAGATTGGCTGTTCTGACTTCTTGCAAGAGGGAGTGTATGCGATGGTCGGCGGGCCATCCTTTGAGTCGCCAGCTGAACTGAAGCTCCTAAACACATTCGCTGATGTTGTTGGTAAGAGCCCTGAGAGTGGGCCCTAAGAATGCACTGGTGGACAGGGTCCTTGTGTATATCGCATTTTGTTTTTCCTATGGGGAGCATATATTCACCTCAGGCAATCAAGGTGTACAGAATATGTGCCCATTTGGGGGACAGCAAGTAGCTTGACTTAGTTGGCATGGTTTAGCCCTGGGCTGTGCGAACAGCTCTGACGTCAAACTTGGGGCTCACTTGCATTAGCCACAAGGAACCTGGATCTTGGAGCAAAGTGTGTCACGCGTATGCAAGATCCACCGATAGTGATAAGACCGTCCCGCGTACACGTAGCGGGGGTGAGATTTCTCAGCTTTTTAGCTGATTTCAGGTTTTTTTGTTTAGGATTTTAGGTTTTTTTTTCCTCAATGGCTGTGTACAAAAGTATAGGAGATTTTCACAGTTCAGCTTTTTATGCCTTTTTTCAGCTGTTTTCAGCTATTTTATCATTGGTCAATCTCACCCCTGACGTAGCTTTAAGGGGGGGAATAGACCCGCTGTGTGCAAACATTGACTTCACTATTGCATGGTGGCCAAAATATGAAAAATCACAGCCTAATTTGCCTCAAAGTGTACCTTTGCTTCATTAGTGTTCATGCGTGACATACTTTGCTTGCTGTGTGAGATTTTCGAAGTGATCTTCTGTTCTTTATGTGTTGGCATTGCCAAAAATGTCTATCCCACGAGTGAGTGATTACTGACTTTTTACCTGTGTGATACGAGAGGGCTTTTGACGCAATGGATTAGTGGTCTGTAGCATCAACTTTGTCTCCCTAACCCGAGTCTGTCTGGGTGAGCTTGTGATTGTGATGCGGTCTTAAAGTGGGGATCTGCAATCCTCGCATTAGAGTCACATCTGGCATGAAGTGCTTGTAAAGATGATATCCCATGGGGCAGAATTCTGCTCATTCACTTAGTTTTCCAGTGAGTGCGACACTCATTGGTGTCGCTTTGGGGAGGGGGAAATTGGTTTCTGCCCCCTCCCAGAAAATCTAAAAAATTGGAAAATGAAGAGGGGAAAAAGTAATAAAGGTAAAAATAGGAATGAGGGAGAAAAGGGTTGAGAATCACCGCATTGCTTGGAAATACTTGTAGCTCGGAATCAACCACTTTCATCCTAATGTTTGTCACTTTGCTGCTGATGAGTGCTCCCCCCTTCCCCCCACAAAAAGTGTCGGCGACGCCCATCATCCCCATGGGCCACTTCATGCCACTTGTACATGTAGGAAGGCGCTACGCATCTGCGCTTACATGTATCTTGTTTCCGCTGTCAACAGTAGCAAAGGCATCAGAAACTATCCCTTGCTGCACTGCCCACAGGTATGAGTACATGCCCCGAGGCCATCGTAGCCAAACACTGCGACATGCGCGTCTTCGGTCTCTCCCTCGTCACCAACAAGTGTGTGATGGACTACGACCTGACAGAAGAAGACGGGCCCAACCATGGAGAGGTTCTAGAGACGGGAAAGCTGAGGGAGGAAATCTTGCAGGAGCTGGTCACCAAAGTGGTGGAAAGGATGGAAAACTACTGAAACGACAGAGGGAAGGTTGGTCATCAAGCGTTAATCACTCTTTATTAACCAGCACGTTTCTTTGAAATGCTGAGATACTGAGTAAAAAAAGAGTAGCACAAATACATTGTAGATGTACCATATTTTGATCTTAAAGCTGTGGGCTCTATTTTTGGATCTCAGGTCTGTCTGTAGTGCTTGTATTACCTCACCCCCCTAAGATAAAATCATTTTAATGAGAACTGGAATTTTCTGCATATTAGATTCAGTATACATGTACATGATATACTATTGAACAAGCCTCCAAATCTGTGTTTAAAGATTGGCAAGTACCTTAAGGACATGCAGAGGACTGACCCACCTCTTGAGAGGCTCTGGAATGGGGGGAGGGCAATGGGCCTCTAGAAAGGACAGTAATGTTTTGTTTGGTTTGGTTTGGTTTGGTTTGGTTTTGTTGGATTGGGTTGGGGTTTGGGTTTTGGGTTTTGGGTTTTGGTTTTGGGTTTGTTTTGGACATTACAGTGGATGAGGGGGACAGGATCAGACTCTTCCACACCAAAGATCCGTTCTGCATTTCTGTGATTTTTTATAAATTTGGCATCCACGCGAAGGTACGTGTGACAAATGCTTTGTTGACGTGTTCTGTATGGGCTTTCAGAGTTTTTTTGGTCGTACGTGGTTGATTGGTTGTTTCGAGTTTCAAACTTCCGTGTACATCAGTCATTGCATGAGCATTTGTCTTCAAACTTTTTGAAAGAATGGCATGTCCACCGTTTTCGAAACATTGGAATAAAGATGACCGCAAGGCATCAGTGCAATAAAAGAACTTCGGACGGTGCTGATTCTGTTCCCCTTTTCTGATTCATTTAATGCATTTCAAATTATTTCATTTGTTCGATTTACCCTTTAGGCATCGCCTCATTTCTGTCTTGTCACATTTTAAGTGAAAAAAACCTGTTTCCATATATATATGCTTGTGAATGTATTCTTGTAAATACATGAGTTCAATACTGAACAAGTCCAGTCAGATACTTATTTGGTGCACGCATTTTTTTCTGCGTAGGAAAATTGCTATCATAAAGCTTACTTGATGTGGAATTCAGCCAGTAGAAAAATAAGAAGGGAATTCCATTCGGTGAACACAGCAAGAAGAGAAAAATTAAACAAAAAGCAGACTACAAAGGAACAAAAATGTACACATGAATGCAGTGACATGTAAAACTGAAGTGTTTTCTTGAAATACATAGATTTTCAGGCCCGAGTTTTTGCTATTCTTTAGGTAAAAGTAAAGCTTATTTTGTGAATTCTGGGAAAATTTGGGTAGCGTAAATTTGATAAACAGGTATCAGTGTCTGTAAAAAGGATGCATCTCCATTGTTAAGTTGCGCTGCTAGTGACCAGTCCAGATCCAGGGCAGGAACTTCATTCTTGAAAGAGCAAGGCAATTTCTCCTTTGCAAAGGGCACTTGTACATGTATTAGAAAATCGACTTGTCTATTGGGACTTTTTAATGGGCATTAACCTGGGGCATCAAGGCAGTTGCCTCCAATGCCTCCGCGAAGTTCTTGCCCTGCACTCTTTTTTGGGGGGGTATGGTTTTCCCTTGCAAAGTTGTTGATGATGTTGAGGACGCATCATTGCAGGATGACAAATACGGTTAAATGTTGATACTAAGAATTAATTTTAGTATTTGTAACAATTTAGCAAATTGTTGCCGACACCACAAACTGACACTCAGTGGTAACTGAGTGCAGCTGCTCGCAGAAAATTTACAGAACCTTGACATTTTGTTTTTCACTGACTGTGTACACAGGCACTCCTTGTGTGCACTCAGTACATTTGTTAGTTTATTTTCACGAAGTGAAACTTCTTCACGTCCCAAGTTGAAAGGCTTCTAGCTCACTTCTTTATCTATACCCAGCAAACGTATGGATGGAGTGAGTTTGTGTCTGGAGATGCAACTTACATTTCAGTTGATGAAATGGACAAGAGCTCACAAAGTGAATTTCAGGCATTTTAAAAACTTTTCTGTTATGTCTTAAGTTTATATACATTCATCATCTTCTCCTTGGTCTTGTTTTAAGTGTACCACTGAAAAAATCTTCAACAAAGTGGAAACACTGCAGTTTTTCCTCTGGCAGATTAGCAATCCCATGTTTAAACTCTTCTTGTTTCGGTAATGTGCGTGTACCGATGTGTACTTTGTTTCTAAAATACTCATGTAGTAATATTTATGTTCATATGCAGTGTGTTCGATTACTTCCCCTGCACTTACTCAGCTAAGGACAACTATATTTGATTCGACACTCACATGACTTTTGCACTTATTCAGGCCTTGCCCAAGTAACCGACCTGCTGAGCCAGTCACAGTTCTGATTTTTTTCCCTTATTGAACAAATTTCTGGATTTAATAATAACAACATTAAATAATAAATTTAATTAACCGTGAAATTAACCTCAGGCTAAAATACTCATGTAGTAATATTTATGTTCATATGCAGTGTGTTCGATTACTTCCCCTGCACTTACTCAGCTAAGGACAACTATATTTGATTCGACACTCACATGACTTTTGCACTTATTCAGGCCTTGCCCAAGTAACCGACCTGCTGAGCCAGTCACAGTTCTGATTTTTTTCCCTTATTGAACAAATTTCTGGATTTAATAACAACATTAAATAATAAATTTAATTAACCGTGAAATTAACCTCAGGGCGAGTTACATTGACTTATCTGGCAAGACAAAGACGCAGTGTACATGGAAATTAATAGTGAGTAATACATTACGTTAAACATGAGTAGTTACCTGTACATGCATTAGTATACCACATAAGAGCTATTTCACTCAGGGGAAAGTCTATTCGAGGGAAGGGGACAAGGCGTAGGGGACCCCCCTCCCACACACCCACACACTGAACCCTCACCAAAGGTCCTGCAAGGCCAGCCGTTTCCCAAAAGTTTAAGGGCCCGGGCCCTGCCGGTATCCTCACTGGCCTACTGACCTCCGGGTGATGAGCGGTGGTAATGAGTGTCTGGTCAATCACGCACATCCATTTCATGTGACTGCTAGCAAAATAGCCTAGTTGCAATCAGTGAGCAGTTCCAGTTTTTTATTGGGCATGGTGGGCATGCAAACGGTGTAAAATAATGTGAATAAATTTGAATTTGTTGCCTCAGATCACAACTCCAACGAGTTAACACCAAACCCCAATTACAGGGTTCCATTGAAGCAAATTACACGCTGGCAATTATCACGTTTCCATCGGTCTGCTGTGATTATGGTGATTCGAAGTTCTGTATAATTATTTTCTTCATGTACAAATGATTTTATTTAATTGGAGTGGTGATTGTAACTGTTTTTCCTGCAATGATCTATATATATGCATATACATGCATACTGACAGGTAATGAAAATGTACCGATATTCTTACTGAATTGGTGCTTTACACAAGTAACCACTGCTACTGTTTCTCACAATCAGTTCTTGGGAAAGGAAATATTAGACAAAGTATTCTCATTGTGCATCTGTGATTACGGTACAGTGTCTTCTCAAGGTGATGCTAGTTAGGGCTAGCATATATAACTCCTGTGCTGTTCGGTAAAACCCAATCGACTATAACTTGAAGAGTGGTGCAGGTTTTTTCGCTGGCTGTCGTATGTGTATAATATTGCTTGTAATTAGTACTGTTTGGTTGTTTAAAGTTTATTTTTTTTATTTTTCGCATATGTACATGTGTTCAGCCGGTGTGAAAAAAAGGTTGTTAACGTTTGATAGCTAATTTAGATAGCTGCTGAAGCAGTGGTGCAAACATTAGGCAGAGATGAGTACTTGGTTCATGCCTCTTGCCCCCTCCCCACGATTGAGATTTTTTATTTTGTATTCCGTGAAGTGCCTCAAGAAAAATTCCCCATAAATGCAACTGTTGATGACTGGCTGCATAATTATCTTTACATACTGCACCCTTCCTTCAAGCATAGACTGAGTTACCGTGCTGGATTGTTATGTTCTGCAATTTGGACATGCCTAATAGTATGCATGTGACATCTTCCTTATAGATCTACCTTTGTGCCCATTTTAACCCAGTTTTCAATTTCCATTGTTCCATCTCGAGGGCATTTTAGTGGCTTGTTGATTTCTGCAGTGCAGATTGATTTTGCCTCTGAGCAAAAGTGTGAAGTTATTTTAAATATCAGGAGGAAACGTCAAAACAGACAGCCCGCAAGCTCAGTTTTCCCAGAGTTACTTTCAATGAACCAATACTTGTATGACATTGTGAAGAAAAATAACACTCACTTGAACAATGGCTACCTGAATCACAGCGACAGTGGCTGGCTATTCTTCAGTAAGAACGTGAACCATTTTCTTTTCTTTCTCAGAAAGGTGCATGCTCTCTCAGTAATGGTAACTTGAACAGGATGAAAGATACATTTTAGCTTTACTACTGTTCATAGTAGAAAGGCGCATTATCTTGGGGGATGTTTCATATGTTTTCATGCACTTAGAAAAAGTAGAACGATGTACGTAGTATTCCCAACAACACTTCGTATCTTGGGCCCTTTAAATATTGCTATATGAGGCTGCACTTGGGCTGCCAATTTACATGTACATGTATTTTGTGTAAAATGTATAGGTGTAATGTGCCCCTTACTCATATGGTATGCTCAAATATATAGCCTTTTATAAACTGAGACAAAACGTAAATGCTATGGTGTATTGGATCAGCATTCTTTGTGTAATATTTTCTATTCTCCCGGATGGCATGCGTTCTATTCATAATTTGTTTTCTTGCCTGTTATCAAGACTACGCTTTTCCACAAATAAACATTGTGAAAAACACTCACGTACCAACTAATTACTAGGTATAAATGTACCCGGTATGAGTTGCCTGTAATCAGGATTGGATTGAATGCAACCCGAAATTGTAATATATTACTAGCAAATTTTATTGCAGCGATATAAAATGGCATGTACATTTTCTTTTTATTTCCTAATTCAATTAAAGAATAGCATGAAAAACAACATAAATATCAATAAGAATTCAGGGAAAAGTCTCTAAATATGAGTAGTTTTAATTATGAATCAACGTAAAGACATAGTCAATTAATTTTAAGATCACTTTCAGTCAACCAAAGGCATAATATACAGTATGTGTAAACGCATTTTCCGTTGCTTGGTTAGACAGAGTTATTCAGCTGAATAGCGTGGCACTTGGCCTCAATATTACACGCCATCTTTGAGGTGTCTCTTTGAACCATTTTTGTAGATGTTCTCCCTGGAAATGTATATTTTTGAATTGAATAAAGGTTGTTAAATATCAAGTGTTGTGTTGTATCTCGGGAGTAGAGACTTTGGTGAGATATCTGAGTGCTTTTGTGTCTCAGGTGGCAACAATTTACGAGAGCAAAATTCCCCGGCGGTACTTTTATTTATTGAAATTTCTTCATGCCTTTTGCAGTTATGAAAAAAACTAATCTCGTCGCTAATGAGCTAGTTCGTTATTTCAAAAACTAAGGTCTTTCGGGAGTCAGCGTATAGCTAGGCGCCTTCCATATGCGTGTCAACACTTGCACCGTACCGAGCGTTGCCTATCCGCCAAAATCGCTCCCGGACGGCCGAACGCAACGCACATGTGTGTTATGTTTAAGGAGTCGGTTTTTTGTGTCCGTGAAAGTGAAACGCGTCAATGCATTGCGTACGTAACGCATATGGAAAGGCGCCTCTTCGCTCTTTGCACGCTGCTGCCATGGGCATGCAGAGCTTCGACCTCGCAGCTTTACACAATCAATATAGCCAGTTCAGCGATTCCTGTGTATGCTGCTTACGTAATTTTGCACATGCTGCGTTAGTTCTTATTTCATGCGAATGGATAAAGCGATTCTGGCGCGATTGTGCAAGCTACCAGTTCTATGACGGCAGCGTGCAAACAGCAAATAGAGGACTTTCAGTAAGTGTGACGTCACTTCAGTTTAAACCAAAGATTGTATAGCGCCGCGCAGCAATCTTTGGTTTAAACCACGCTCACTGCAATGCACTGCACATCCGGTTCGTAAGTGTGACGTCACTTTTCAGTTTAAATCAGGCCCACTGCACACGTGCACTGCACATAGGGTTACATGCATTGATCGCCGTTTACGTGCAACCGGAAGTGAACGCGCAACTTCAGCGATTGTCCAGTGAGAGCCTGCAAATCGTGGCGCGTCTGCCTTTGTGACAAAGTCACTTACTAACGGGATAGCCTTACGTGCATTGATCGCTATTTACATGCATCACTGACTTCATGGGCTGCGTGGCGTTCCTTCACTAGCCCCTAGCCCTGGTCGTGTAGTATACTAAAATGACAGTGACTGGCTATTTGGGATGAATATACTGTACATCAACGTACATTCAATCGCACGCATATTTCAAAAGCTGCACGCTCCTACCCACGTATTCCCTTGCACGTCACGCACGCGTAAATCTACGTCGCGCGTAAACACACTGACTGAAATCCTAATTTAAATATCCCAAATAAGGTGCGTTCGATTAGCTTCCCTGAATACACCAGCGTTACACGCAAGGGAAGCCACGAAATGAGGCTGATCGAACGCTGCAGTGTATTCGCCAAGGCATTCTGGGAAAAGGTTAAGCCCCCACCACGTTCCATCATGTCCATGCTCGACCATCAGCCCATCAGTGACGTCATTACACTTGGGCAGCCTCAGGAAACCCGCTCGCCAGCCGGGGGTAGTAGTTGCTGACACCAGGCCTGCAGGCACGAAGGTCACGTGATGGCTAAACGAACGTTCTCGTGTAAGTTTGACTTACACATGCAAACTAATAGATTGGATCCATGGTGTGATATTTAAATTATACAATACCAGGTTTTAGATCGCGTAAGGCATGGTGGGAACCAAGATGGCGCGGCATGATCGTACCCATGGGAACGAGGTTGGTTTACATGGAACCAGAAGTTAACGCTCAACTTCAGCGATTGTCCAATGGGAGCCTGCAAATCGAGGCGCCTCTGCGTGTATGACGAAGTCACTTACGAACCGGATATACACAGATGTGCGCGGTAACGCGCGCACCTTTGAAGTCGCTCGACAGTTTGGCGTACATGAAATTGCCAATGGAAGTATATCGACAAGAATATAATATCAAATCTGTGCTCTGAAATATGTGATTGCAGAGCTCTCGGTAACTGAAAACCTCCTTCAGGGCAAGCAGATTCACTTCTGAACGAACGCGGAAAAATCCACGTTCATTCCCCCCACACCTGGGGCGCTGACAGGTGGAATTGCTGCCTGCTTTTGACGGCGAGACGGTTTCCAACCGGGAACGTACAACCATGTCCCCGACAGAACGATCGCGCCCAAATGCGCAAATCGGGGGTTCGGCGAAAATGGATGCTGTGGTAACCGCGCTGACGAAAGAAACCTAGCATTTCCTCCCACGAAGCATCGCTACTACAAATCCTACGCAGTCGAAGAAACTGAGAGTAAGGGATGGAGTTCTTACACTTGAGGGTTGAGACGAATGGTACTGCAGGTGGCTGTGGGAATCTGTGGGTTTGTAACTTACGGTTGTGCCAAGTCTCCGCGCACAGATCTGGACGCGCACGTCGAGAAAGGTAACAGAGTAGTGTTGTGACACATTAGATGTGTAGCGCAGTGCTGGGTGAAAAGCATCCGCAAACGTTAAGAAATTCTCAACATCATCAAACCTACCGGTTATAGCACCAACTACATGTATATCATCGATGTATCGCCAGACTTCGTTACATACACTGACGCGTCTCGATTTGCAGGCTCCCACTGGACGATCGCTGAAGTTGCACGCTTCCGGTTCCATGTAAACTGTGATTAATGCATGCAACTCTACAGTGCAACAGTGCGTGTGCAGTGGGCGTGGTTTAAACTGAAGTGACGTCACACTTATGAACCGGACTGGACAATTCCCTCGACCCGTGTCCCCTAATTTCTGGCTAGCTTACTAGCATTAAAAGTGCCCCCATGGTATCATTTGAATAAAGGAGGTTAAGGCCCCAAAATGGTGAGATTGTGTAAATATTTGCTAGGATCACCTCCCTGGGTCTTTGGGCTTTCATCTGAGAGCAGAATGGCCAAAAAATACGGTTGAAAATGGTCCTAAGCGTCCGAGAAAATTGAGGATTGCCACATGAAAAATGGCGGGAAGCAGACTTGAGGGGAAAAATCACTTGGGGGGGTTAATTTTGTTTTGCGAGAATAACTAAAAATGAAATCGCTAAACCCAGAGAAAACTTAAAAGAATTGAAAGATTAGGGACCAGGCAATGATGTAACGTGTTTTGGAAGCGTCAGGGATGTTGGTATGCATGTTATTGGTCCCTGAATAATGCCGATTTTACACTGTTTTCAAAGACGCTTGAATTAGTGACCACACATCCTGTGGAATGGTCTTACGAGATGTCACAGCGCCCTCGGCCTCGTAGAGGCCTCCAATAGCAGAAAATTTTACTTTAGAGGGCGCCCTTCGTAGAAAATAGTTTTACTTCAGTGAACGGTCGCCGACGAGCT